ACTGCAGCTTGGGAAAGTGCTGGGCGAGGCCCTGGACACACACCCATGCTTCCTTCGATAGCTCAGCTGGTAGAGCGGAGGACTGTAGGCTCTCTGGCACGGCCATCCTTAGGTCGCTGGTTCAACTCCGGCTCGAAGGAGTCACCTTTTGCCTCTCACACACATCCCACACTGGCACTGGCACTGCCTTTTGGTCCTGCACAGGGGCCTCCCCAGAATGAGTGCCAATTTGTGAGCTCTTGTCTGAGTTTGGGAATACTACTGCCCCAGCAGTTTTGAGTGAGCCCTTGGGCAGGGGATGGTGATGCTGAGCTCTGAAGTTGGCCAAAGTCTTCTCCAGTTGGAATGTCATTGGATGGGTTGGTGGTATGAGAGTGATGAATGGGAGGCTCCATCTTTGGCTGCAGGGCACCCTGGGTCAGGTCTGGGTGCCTGGGAGGGGAGAGGAGCTGGGTGAGAGGCTGCAGGGAGGGGAATTAGCTCAAGTGGTAGAGCGCTCGCTTAGCATGTGAGAGGTAGCGGGATCGATGCCTGCATTCTCCAATGCTTTTCATTCCTTTTCCTGGACCATAGGTACTGTGGTCCTTGTGGCTGTGGGGAGCCTTGGGTGCACCCAGAGGCTGTATCAGGAGTAGAACAGGCCATGGGCATAGGCGTGATTAAGCCATTATCCCTCCTTGCTTCTTAGTAATTAAATGGCATTAAGAGTGCTGTACACATATTGTAATAAATTTCTTAATCATCAATATAGCATCACAGAGGTGCTGACCTTTTAGAGCAAGTCTAGAGAAGGCACACCATGATTAAATTAGAAGGATGGTGCTCCTTTCCTGGGCAGGAAGGCCAGAAGAATTTGGACTATTCAGACTGGGAAAGATAAATCTTTAGTGTGACATAACTGGAGCTTCTCAGTACTTAGGCAGGGTCTACAAGAAAGCTGGAGCAGGGCTTTTGACATGGGGGTGTAGTGATAGGACAAGGGGTAATGGCTAGAAATTGAAAGAGGCGAAGTTTAGATTAGACATTACAAAGAAGTTCTTCACTGTGAGGTTGGTGATGCACTGGAATTGGCTGCTCAGAGAAGCTGTGGATGACCTATCCCTGGAAGTGCTCAAGGCCAGATTGGATGAGGCTTTGAGCAACTTGGTCTAGTCTGAGCAACCCTGGGCAGAGGATTGGAACTAGATGATCTTTAAGGTCCCTTCCAACACAAACCACTCTATGAGTCTATGATTTTCTTGTAAGTAGTCTATCAAACAGGATCTTTTGAAACTTCTGAAGAAAAGAAATCCAGTATCTATCTCTCTGCATATTACTTCACTGTCAGACAAGGAAGCATAAGACAAAGTACAGTTTCATTTATTATGCCAAAAAAAAGATTCTAAAATTATTTTTGTATTATATTGAAGATAAACAGATCTCCTTTGAAATTCTGCTGATTAAAAGCCCATTAGCTTTACTCCCTGATAAATTAGATTGTGCCAAACTCCAAATAAAATCACAGAGTCATGTCTGTCATGTTTATTAAAAAGCAAATTTTGCCCTGGGCTGTGGCGTATAATTAACAGTGACTTAATTAATAATGGCAGGAAACTCAGAATCAGGCATGGCTGGTTTTCTACCTTGTACTAAAGAATACCATTTCAGCAGCAGATTTTTGGATTAACATAAATTAAATTATAATTAAAGCAAATCTATGAGACTGACTCATCATTTTATCTTGCAAATATTTACAGCTACTCTGTTAAAATTGAATCCCCCTGACATTTCCACTTTACTCAGAAGGTGCCTTTTTTTTTTCTCTAATTACTAATAAAGATGGAGAAAGCACCACTGTCAGTTTTGCCATAGATCACTGTGTAAATCATCCATATTCATGCTCAGCATTAAATAGAGTTTATTGCATTCTACATTCTTCCATGACAACTTTCTCCTTTGGGGATTTCCAGAAAATTAAATGTAAAAGCAACTGGAAAACATGAGGTTTGAGACTGAAGATGATTTCTATAAACAGGCTGTACTACAGGAACAGAGAAGGTGCAAATCATAAGTGAATTTGATATCATAGTATCCTTTTTTCCCAGTGATATAATTATGCAAGACAACAGAACCGTGGGATGTCAACAGTTCTCCTTCCATTGTATGAAGAGTTTGGACATTCACTACTTTTGCCTTCATTGAATCTGTGCCTTTAGGAGCAGAAAGCAGGAGAAATGCCATTTGTTCAAAAACATGGAGGACAGAGTCTTGCCAAAATTCAAGCTGAATGATGCAAGTAGATTTATTTCATAAACTTTTTTGAGTTCAGATATATTCTTACATTTGATAGGAAAGTTAAGCTGTGTTAAGCTTGCCTGGTAATACAATGCAACAAACAATAGCCAAAATTATTCTGTAATAAAAATTTTACAATATTTATTAAAAGTGCAAGTACATGTCTGACATATTTCAATGTCAAGAACATCTACTTCACGGGTGACATTACATTTTGTTTGTCTTTCAACAGCAGCTGAGCAAATGTAAGGGCAAAATTACCCATAAAATCTTCTGGTCTTACTTCTAGGTCTTGTTACATTTCAACAATAAAATATTTGATACCATTTTGATAAATTGTGTTTGACTCAAGCTATTCTTAATGTCCTCTCTTCTTTTTCAATAGAGAAACTAGCATTTCTGTGCCAGTATTTTTCAGTAGCTGGTTACACTCCCAGTTAAAACCATGTACCTCTTTGTCAGCTCAAATAATTTTCAGATCCCAAGCTCTGCTTTTGGTTATGTCTGCCTTCATAAAGTGAACAACTATCTCACACCTAGCAATTTTCCCCTTCAAGGACATTACACACTCTAATCAAATAATCTTTTTCTTTTCTTCTAAATAATCTTCTTTTTCTTTTCTGATAAAATGATAAAAGATAAAATGATTGAACTCATGTCTCTTACTCTAGTTCTCAAATTGTCATTACAGCACTTGTATTAGCTTTACTTTTCAATAGACTTCAGGAAAAATACTAACACAAGAACTGGGTGCAGTATTCAAATAGCCCAGGTTAGTTTATCCCAACAGTCTGACCTCTCATTCATTTAGATTAAAATATTTCAGATTATTCACAGACTACTTGTGGGATGAAATCAGTAGATTCACATTGCATCACCTCTGATCCTTTTCAGGCTCACAAATTTAAAAAGAAGAAAGGATTGTGACAATGAATGTCTACTGTGCTGGTAACTCAAAGCGTTTTGCCATCATAATCATGCCAGACAAATAAGCATATTTAGACCTGTTGCAAAGCACATTTTACGTACCTGTAGGACTTCTTAATCTCATCATGTGTTGCTCCCTTCTCTAGTGCCAGGATTTCATATAACGCTTCACCCGATGTTGACAAAGCACGTTGCCTTTGTTCAGCCATGACAGCAGTGCATTACCAAAGCTGCTAATGTAGAACATCATTTAAAATACCAGGGACTGCAAGTATATAGAGATAGTATTTCTTACTGTTCATTTTAATAGATTATTTCAGGCAGCAAAAGGTTAAAAATACATGAATATGAATCTAGAATAAAATCTCCTCTATATTATCTTCTGTCTTTTAATACATTTTACAATTAGGAAAAAATGAGAAAATGGACAAGCAGAAACTAAGGAACAGAAGCTTTTGTGTTGGGCAGAACTGTTCATATTAAAGACTTGATGTTGCTGTCACTGAAATGAATAGATAAATTTGCTATAGCATTAATATCCAAACATTATATTTCCATCTTGTTTTATTTGTGTTTGCTTACATTTTCCTTTACTAAGTCTTCGGAGAATTATTCCACTATATGTTGAGGTTATTGACTTTTTACAGTGAGGTAAGAGCACTGTACCTCTGAGTATTACCTAATGCAACAAAGTGAAGAATTTTTGCTTTCTTAACACAAGGGCTCAGGTTCAGTCTAACCAATCTTAGGTGCTTAAATTGTGATTAAGTTTGAATCTGAATCAAACTAGACTCCTTATATTGTCAACAGACATACAGACTCCAAGAACAACTGGCCAAGCACTTTCTCCCCATTATCTCCACAGTGTGCTCAGGATGACTTGAGTATTGTGTCTAGTTCCAGGCCCCTCAGTTCAGGGAGAACATTGAGGTGCCACAGCAAGTTCAGAAAAGAGCAATGGAGCTGGTGAAGGTTCTGGAGCACAAGCCTGATGAGGAGCAGCTGAGGCAGCTGGGGGTGTTTGGCCTTTGGCCTGGAGAAAAGGAGGCTCAAGGGTGAGCTTACCACTCCCTACAACTCCACGAAAGAAGATTGTAGCCAGGTGGGGGTTGGTGTCTTCTCCCAGGCAGCCAGCGACAGGACAAGAGGACATAGCCTTAAGGTACACTAGGGGAAGTCTAAGTCAGACATAAGAAGAATTTATTCACAGAAAGAATGATTAGATATTGGAATGGGGAGGTGCTGGAGCCACTGTCCCTGGAGGTGTTTAAGGAAAGACTGGATTTGGCACTTTGTGCCATGGTTTAGTTGACATGGTGGTGTTCAGTCATAGATTGGACTTGATGATCTTTTCCAACCTCTCTGATTCTGTGACTACCAACCATGACCCTGAGAACCAGTGGAGTGAATTTGGACCTACATGATGAGAGTAGATACCAAGAATTGACCCAGGTATTATAAAAGTAACTTTATAAAAAAATTGTTCATGGGAAATACTGATATCTATCAGGGTCCTATATTACTTGAAATACAAGAGTTAGGATTGAATTAATGATAAATTTAACATGGTACCCTTAAGTATAGTGCAAGCACAGACTGACAGATTCAGTCCACTTCAGATTTAATATTTTTTCCTTCCTTTTTTGCAGAAGAGAAGCAGACAAACCAGAGATTCTTCACTGAGAGGTTTGACTACCTCTTTACAGTGTGCAGTTCATCCTTTTGGATTTGAAGAATGAAACATTTTTAAACCAGACCTTGCTAATGCTAGGCAATGACACAAAGAAACTCAAAGAGCAAAAACTCCTTCTAGCAGCTTTCCAATATTTAGAGAGGGCCTATAAGAGATGTGGAAAGGGACTTTTTACAAGTACATGCACTAATAGGACAAGTGGGAATGGCTTTAAGCTGAAAGAGGCTAAATTTAGATTAGATATTAGGAATAAATTCTTCACTGTGAGGCTGGTGAAGCGCTGGAACAGGTTGGCCAGAGGAGCTGCCCCATGCCAGGAGGTTTTCAAGGCCAGGCTGGATGAGGCTCTGAGCAACTTGATCTAGTGGAAGGTGTCCCAGCCCAGGGTAGGGGGCTGGAACTAGATGACCTTTAAGGTCCCTTCTAACTCAAACCATTCTAGGATTCTACATAAACCACAATTTAAACCACAAGATATAGATACCTATGAATCATAAGAGAAAGCTACAGGTCATTGATGCAGACTTGCCACAACAAAACTTTCACCACAGCTTTCTTTCTTTGAATGTTGGCCCCCTCTCCAAATGTTGAAAAGTGATCACAGAAAAAGCCTAAAAGTGAGCTGTAACCCCAGTCATAAGAAAAATTTCTGTAAACCAGCTTTGTTAGGTAAGACTACCCTCCCTTTTATTACACCCTTCTCATTGCTGAGCTAGAAACACTATCATGACATTATTCATATATTATTTACTAAGCCACATTTTGGTTCAGAACCAATCATGTAACACTTTTAAGTTCTTTGGTATTATTCAATATTAAAAAGAAAATCAAATAACGTGTAAGTACACAGAGAAACATAATCCACGCAGTAATTCTGGCACATAGTATTTATTCTGATGTTTTCTTTTTCTGATCAACCAACTCACAATTAAGGGGTCCTTTGACCTGCTGAAAAAAAATACCTTTCTACTTTTAAGTGTGGTAAACAATCCCTCGATTAAATGTATTGAACTTTTGGTTTTAAGTTAACAGTTAGAAAATGAAATTGCACATGAGTATCTAGATATTACTTTACCACCTGCAGTGGTAAAATAAAACACATGCTTTTTGTTCATGATGGCATGCCTAGAGGATATTTAGCATGATCCTGGGATCTATCCTAGCACTGGAATCATGCAAAGCACATGAAGCCTGTTAATGTGCAAGGTAATGGTAGTAATCATGTGGAGTCAGAGATATACAGCATTAGTTAAAAATCTGTGGCATAATGCTGATCAGCTACCTGACAGCCCTGAAGCATAAACCAAAATTAAAGTCATGGTGGATTTAATTTTGAAGAACTACAAGGTCATGTAATTTGTACTTTCTCATAAAATAATTTTAATAGCCTAGTCAGCTATGGAAATTTAGACTCAATAGCCTATTCAGTATTCTAGTGATTAATTAACTTGAAGCTTTAACTCTAGCTATTCAAAATTATTTCTTACTTATTTAAAGCAGTCCTATAAAAATACTAGAAGTGCAATAAGACAATACTTTTCTAGAAAAAGTTAAACTCTCCTTATTAAGGAAGATGTAACAGTCACAATTTTAGTACTAGATATATTCCTCATGGCTGAATTTACATTAGAATCCTATTTTTGAGCCACTTATTTTTGTTCCAGTAGAACAAAGTCAAGAAGATGTTGTTTTCTTCCTTGAATGACAATAAAACTATTAAAACACACTCCAAATTCTGGTAATAATTCTGCATCTCCTAAGAAGATGGGACCCCAGTTAACTTCAGCTCCTTCTGTGCCAATTTTACACTACCCAGCATTAAGCATCTTATACAGAGGTTGTAATAATATGCCTTTTTTTCTTACAATACCCATAGTTCATTTGGATTGGTGCTGAAAAATAAGGCAAAGTTATTCGAAGAACATACCTGCTTCAAAAAGTGGTGGCACACAGGCTGGCATGTATAAAGTCACAACATTATGAGTTCAATAGCTTGATGTCCTTATGGCAATATCATCCCGAAGGAAAGAAGCAAGTGCCACCAGAAGTGCTGTTCCACAGGAAGCAGCTGCTGCTTTTCGTCCTTCACAATCAGGGTTAAACAGGTCAGTGGAGTCTGATTACGTCTTTTGTTGTCCAGTATCCAGCTGGTTATCTCTCAGGAAGATCTATGAAAGAGCAAATAAAACATTCATGAGTCTAAAAGCTGATATATCCAAGAGTTAATGACACCAAAAAATTTGGGACAACTGCGTATTGAGTTAGTTCTTCTTCTGCACTTTACTCCTGATAGGGTATTGAGTTTGTTTTTTTTTTTCCCATGCAGATATATTAAATTGTTTTAAACATAAAACAGTCTCTTGCCCTAAATTACACTTCTTTAAGATCAGCCATGGCTTAGGTTTACTACACAATTTATTCCAAAACAGGATTAATTGAAGAAGTCTCCTTAGGTCTTAGTCCTGAGTTCTTGTAAATTTTATATCAAAACAGAAGGTGTAGGATGTTGACTTTTATTCTGATGGAGTTTCTCCTCTTACACCATGAAAACCTAGAGAGCCATTCCTTTCTATTTGGAACAGAGAGGACAATAAATGCCAGAGACTTTAAAACCTCAATTTTTTCTGGTATATCATCCTTGGAACCAAATAGTTCATCCTTTGCACTCAAAAATTTCCTAGATCACCCAATTCCAAACCATATCCTTTTTACTGTGTTGATTTTGGCTGGATGCTGGACCTCTACCCACCTCACACCATCCACCATTCCCCCTTCAACAGAATGGGAAAAGAGGATAAAGTGAAAAGCTCAAAGATCAAGATAAAGATAGGGTGATCCCTTACCCATTACTGTCATGGGCAAAACAGACATAACTTGGGGAGAATGAATTTCATTTATAACTAATTAAAAGAGACTTGCGTGGTAAGAAACCAAGACAAAAATTGAAACACTTTCCCCTCACCAACCTGTTTCCAGGCTCACATTTGTTCCTTTATTCACATCTATCCCTCACCATCCATGAGCAGAGCCAGAAGGACAGGAATCATGGGTTGTATAGTTAAGATCACATGAATTATATATCTATAAAATATATTTATAATTTTATATATTTTTATATATATAACATATATGATACAATTATGGTCAAATACATAATAAAGTATGTGATGATCACATATATATAAAGTATATTTATGATTATACAATTATGACCATATAAAAACAAAACAAGAGGATAGCTGATAAAAAATTGTTAAATGGATGCTTTTTAATGTGAAGCATATGATTTTAACATTTCTCTAGTTCTTAGGTATATTCTTAATTTCAAAATTTCCCTCTAATTTCAGCTTCCTATGGAACAAGGCAAAGGACATTTCAATCTAAAATGTGAGTGATTTTCATAATTATGAGAAGTCAAAATAGCATAGTCAAAGTACCTTTCCCAGGACAATAACGACAGAGTAGGTATAGCTAATTTTATTGCATTGCATCAACACAATAAACCAGATTATTCAATCAACATGCTTGA